ATATCTGCAAGTTACTAATACAAGAAACTGGTGTCAGTCAACATTTAAAAACTTTAAATGACGTAGTTAAGTAGAATGCGAAGTAGCAGGTTAACTAGCAGGTTAAGGTTAACTAAACAATAGAAAGAATAAACGAATTGAAAACAAAACCATAACTAAATAAAAATAGAATTTGCTACCTCGCATTCCTTCCCCCTTTCGAAAAAAGAAAGGGATTACATTAATCACCGTCTGTAAATTCCCAATTTTCGTATCCTCACTTTTAAGGACCTCATTATACGGACACCATGAATCCTGACCAGTTTAAGTACATATACCTTAGAAAGAAAAAGCGTAGTGTTCTCAAATCTTCAGCTTCTCTACCTTCTGCTCCGATTCAGGTTACTGTAAGTTAAGTACAAAGACCAGCTAAGCTACAATAAACTATTTAGATCAATAGATTTAAAAGCATGTGGTCATTATTTACATACTCTTTAACAACATTAGCATCTACAAGTCACCGTTATGGGAAACTGGTGTCAGTCTAATGACTAAAATTGATGTGAATAACTAGACTGAGAATTAGCGTTTACAAGTAAAACTAAATAGTCACAGCTTAACTAAATGAGAGAATGAATAATAAATGAACGGTAAAAAACATCTATTTTACCTCACACTCCTTCCTCCTTATGAAAAAAAAAAAGGGATTGCATTAATGATTGTTTAAAATTCTAAATTTTAGTGTCCTTACTTTTAACGCCCTCATTATACTGACATCGTCAATCCTTAACAATTTGAATACAAATACCTTTCAAGGCTAAATCATTCCCTTTTCTTCTATATTCGGCTTTAGCTTCCGGCTCTAGTTCAGTTCAACGCAAGTTCTTGTGTTCCAAGACCAGCTAATCTGTGATAATTAACTAAACTACTCACATCAAGAAATCAGAATTCATGTGATAATCACGTGCACACTTTCCCAACATTAATATCTGAACGTCACCCCTACGGAAAATCGGCTGCAGTTTGATAATTTATATAATTTTAGAAATTGATGTGGTTTACTATAATGCGAGTTAGAGTTTAAATGTAAATTAAAAATACAGATTAACTAAACGATAGAAGAAATAATTCAATGGTAAACAAAAGCATAAAATAAAAACAATTTGCTATCTCGCACTCCTTTTCGTAAACCGAAGTGATTACATTGATTACTCAAAAGTACAAATTTTGTATCCTTGCTTTTAAAGACCTCGTTATACTGACATCATGAATCCTGCCCAGTTTAAGTACATATACCTTACAAAGAAAACTCGTTCATGTTCTTCTATCTTCACCTTCTCTACCTTCCGGCTCAAGTTACGGGACGTCCTCGAGTTCAAAGACAAGCTAAGCTGCAATAGTTAACTAGTTAGAACAGATTAATTCATATGATCAATTTACATACTATTTACCAATGTTAAATATCTGTACGTCACCGATATGGGAAACTGGTGTCAGTCTGATAACTCGTGGAATCTGAAAGTTAATGCGATTAGCTAGGACGTGAGTTAGCGTTCAAGTGTAAACTAAAAATTGACAGATAAACTAAACGATAGAAAGAATAAGTTAACTAAACAAAACCATAACAAAATAAAATAGTTTGCTACCTCACACTCCTTTCGAAAACCGAAGTGAGTACATTAATCACTCCCAATCCAATTTTCGTATCCTTACTTTTAACACCCTCATTATACAGACACCAAGAATCCTTTACAGTTTCAGTACAGATACATTACAAAATGAAATAATTCATTCTTCATGAATTTATCTTTTCTACTTTCCTGCTCTGGTTCACTTTACAGGAAGTTTTCGAGTTCAAAGACCACTTACGTTAGGCAGAGGACATAAATGACTCATCAGCACGTTACGTCGAAGGATGAGAAGTGGACACACCAGAATAAGTCCTTTATTTTTATGGAAGGGAATCCGCAATCTAAAAGCCTTCTTGTACCATTTAAATTTTCTGGAACGACATAAGACGATTACCATTTTCTGATGTAGAAAAAAAATTCACTGGAAAAATTCATTTTAGAAATGTAAAATTGTCCTATTAACACGATATAACCTAATTTATATAAAGATGGAGAAACACAAGTCGCAACTTAACTATTCATTCAGTCTTCAAATATGTTCTGGAGTGACTCTTACTGAACTTTATTCTATGTATTCTTAACGATAGTAGTGAGTTTCCTACTTTTAATTTTGTTCGAAATATACCAACGGGTACAAGCTTCTCGCTGTATCTTCCAATGTTTTTCAACGTTGGATGTTGCTTTCTGTATAACATTTCTAGATATTTCTGTTCTTTCATGTACGGTTCCAGGTAATGTTGGATATTTTGTTTCCAAAAAGTCCTTTTTTGACCCCTTATAAACTATCAAATAGCCTGCATACAGTATGCATGAGCCAGAACTTTCCACTAACACGAAAGAAAAACATACCATCAATAACAGTTTAATACTTATATAAATAAATAGAAAAAGGAACGGATGAAAAACGTGTATAAAACATCGAATAACAACAAAAAATCTTCATCGCTATCTCACGTGAGAAAAGTTATTAAAACTTATGACAAAGTCTTTATTCAGAATATTAAATTAAAAATTTTACAACTTCAATATCTGCAAGTCACCGGTAATGGAAACTGGTGTCAGTCTCATAACTTTTAGAAACTTTAAAATGACGTAATTGATTAGAATGCGAAGTAGCGTTTAAACGTAAAACAAATGTTACAGGTAAAATAAAAGATAGAAAAAATAATAAATGAACAGAAAACAAAACCAAAACGAAATCAAAGTAGAGTTGGCTACCTCGTATTCCTTCCCCGTTCGAAAACCGAAGTGATCACATTAATCACTGCTTATAAATTCCCAATTTTAGTATCCTTACTATTAATGATCTCATTATACTGACACCATGAATCCTGCCCAGTTTAAGTACATGTACCTTACAAAGAAAAGGCGTAGTGTTCTCAGATCTTCAGCTTCTCTACCTTCTGCTGCGATTCAGGTTACGGGAAGCTAAGTCCAAAGACCAGCAAAGTTGCTATAATTAATTAGATGAAGAGATTTGAAATAATGTGATCATTATTTATATACTCATTACCAACATTAACAAGTCACCGCTATGAGAAACTGATGTCGGTCTCATAATTAAAATTTTAAATTGATGTGAATAACTAAAATGCAAATTAAAAATTTACAGATTAACTAAATGATGATAGAATGAGAAATGACTAAACAAATTCAAAACGAAATAAAATTAAACTTTCCATTTCACACTCTTTCCCCTTTAGAAGTGATTACATTAGTCATTTTAAAATTAAGTCCTTACCTTTAACGTTATTCTGACATCCTACACGGTTTAACTACAGATATAGTACAAGGAGAAACCATTTTTATATATTCGACTTTCTCTTTCGGTTCTAGTTCACCTTAACGAAGTTCGAGTTCTAAGACCAGTTAATTTGTAATAATTATATAACAAATCTTGTACATACTCTTTACCAATATTAATACCTGTACGTCACTGATAGGGGAAACCGATGTCAGTCTCATAACTCATATAAATTAAAAATTGATGAGATTAGCTAGAAGGTGAGTTAGCGTTGAAGTGTAAATAAAAATCCAGAGCTTTACTAAACGATAGAATGAATAAACGAACGGTAAAGAAACCCATAACAAAATAAAAATAGAATATGCTATCTCACACTCCGTCCGCTTTAGACAAAGAATATGATAATATTAAATCACTGCTTATAAATTCCCAATTTTCGTATCCTTATTTTTAAGGTCCTCGTTATACTGACATCCTACACGGTTTAACTACAGATATAGTACAAGGAGAAACCATTTTTATATATTCGACTTTCTCTTTCGGTTCTAGTTCACCTTAACGAAGTTCGAGTTCTAAGACCAGTTAATTTGTAATAATTAAATAACAAATCTTGTACATACTCTTTACCAATATTAATACCTGTACGTCACTGATAGGGGGAAACCGATGTCAGGCTCATAATTCATACAAATTAAAAATTGGAGTGATTAGCTAGAAGGTGAGTTAGCGTTGAAGTGTAAATAAAAATCCAGAGCTTTACTAAACG